TACACATGTTATAATTAGTTGAAAGAATACATCACACTTGGCATTAGAAAAGTTTACAGATGTTAGACTGCCCTAGCTCCCCAACCACAGGTGAATATCATGTTAACAAGTATGTAAGTCAACCTATTGTTTAACAGTCAGCCAGGTGTAACCTATTGTTTGACAGTCAGCCAGGTGTAAAAAATACCCTGTTAGGTCAAGGCATTGTTTACATAATGTGTCCAGGGTGTGAAAGAAGGTCCCCAGGGCATTTATCATGAATCATTACCACCATTAACCTGTATTTTTTTTGTGGCAGTGGCCAAAATAGAGTGATATTACGAGAAATCAACATAAAATCAGGTGATAATAAAAGAATTGAATTGCATAGATTATATATCAGAAAAACGGTGCATCAAAAAAACATGATAATAACCGAAAAGTGACATGAACAGACGTGATATTAGGTGAAATGTACTGTATATATATATATATCAGTACAACTGCTGTTAACGTTAATACCTACTGTTACAACAGATTCCAATCATCTACATGGATGATGACTCTGATGAAGAAGATAACGATGACAATTCCACACAACCACCGGCAGAGGGCAGCCCTGGTAGTACCACCACCAGCAATGGACATCCTCTCTTTCACCTGGGAAGTATCGACAATAGTGTTCCAGAAATGCCTCAACATCAGATAGATTCTCCGGTCGAGGGTCTGAAAGGCACAGTGGTATGACGAATACCTTCCTGACATAGGTCACAAGATCATGTTCCCTAATTACATGACTGGTTGATGTTTTCATTACCAAGATCACATGATCATGTTCCCCAACATGATTGGTCAATGTTTTCATTACCAAGATCACATGATCGTGTTCCCCAACATGATTGGTCAATGTTTTCATTACCAAGATCACATGATCGTGTTCCCCAACATGATTGGTCAATGTTTTCATTACCAAGATCACATGATCGTGTTCCCCAACATGATTGGTCAATGTTTTCATTACCAAGATCACATGATCGTGTTCCCCAACATGATTGGTCAATGTTTTCATTACCAAGATCACATGATCGTGTTCCCCAACATGATTGGTCAATGTTTTCATTACCAAGAACACACGACAATGTCCCCGAGCAGAGCTGGTCGATACTTTTCTTAAAGAGAGATTGAATTGGCAGTAAAACTTACTTGTTTTAACCATTTTATTAACGTCACAGATATATCTAGTAAATACTGATGGGCCTTGACTTGTAAATCACCACGCACTGGATTTTTAGCCTGCTATTATCACATGTACATGGTGGGCTGTTCAAATCGCCTGTCATCCGTGGTCTGTTGTCCGTCCATCGCCCATCGATCCTTAACCCGTTCTTGTTATTGCTATTTCTCAGAAGGTACTCGAGGAATCGATCTATCTCAAATTTGATATGTAGGTTCCCCTTGGTCCCTAGTTGTGCATGTTTACTTGGCCTACAGGTGGTCATCTTTGATTTTGACGGTAAATGATTGATATCGCTATTTCTTAGGAAGTACGGAATGAATCTTTTCAAGTTCCCCTTGGTCTTTAGTTGTGCATGCATGCTTTCTTTTGAGACTGATCACATAAATAAAATGGCCGACAGATGCCATCTTGGATTTTGACAATAAATGATTGATGCATGCATGGCTATTTCTCAGGAAGTATTTGAGGGATCTTTCTTAAATTTAAAATGTATGTTCCCATTGGTCTCTAGTTGTGCATGTTAACTTTTGAGACTGAGCGGATAAACAAAATGGCCAATAGGTAGCCATCTTGGATTTTGAGAATGAATGTTTTTTACCGCTATTTCTCAGGAAGTACTCGAGGGATCTTTTTAAAATTTGATATGCATGTTACCATCGATCTCTCTTGTTGTGTATGTTTACTTTTGAGACTGATCGGATAAACAAAATGGCCGACAGGCTGCCTTCTTGGATTTTAAGTATGAATGTTTGTTACCGCTATTTCTCAGGAAGAACTTGAGGGATTTTTTTTTATATGCAGGTTCCCATCGGTCTCTTGTTGTGCATGTTTGATTTTGAGACAGCTAGTGTAAAGAAAATGGCCGACAGGCGGCAATCTTAGATTTCGACAGTGAAAGTACTTTGAGGGATCTTTCTTAAATTTTGCATGTAGGTTGTCCTTGGTTTCCTATTGTGCATGTTTAATTTGGACACAGCTTGGATAAATGAAATGTCCGACATGGGGCATTAATCGATTTTGACAGTGAGTGTTTGTTTTCGCTATTACTCAGGAAGTACACGTACGATGTACTTGGAGGAGCTTTCTCAATTGCATATGTAGGTTCCTCTTATTTAGCATGTGCAATTTTGAGATGGTTTGGATAAACAAATGGCCGACATAGGGCTATCTTGGATATTTGTCAGTGAATGTTCGTTTTCGCTACATCACAGGAAACACTGGAAAAATGATTCCCAAATCTGTTTTGTAGCTTTTCCTTGGTCCTTAATTGTGCATGTTTACTTTGGAGATTTGATGGAATAAACAAAATGGTTACCTCAAGGTGCATTTACTGTTTACATGATTCAATCAAAGAAATAAGAGAAAACAAGAAAAAAGAAGAGAAAAGATCGAACTAGCGTAAGAACTAATGAAGATTGCGCAACGGTTGGCGCCATGATCCCTATAGGATCTCTTGTTTTTCAACCCAAAATATCATATATGGTTAATGAATTTGTCGCTATCCCATTATTTATCACAGAAATTCCCTTACAATTTCAAATTAACTTTGTAATATTTCTAAAGCCTGCAAATTAATCAACGCTTGAACATTTTGCATTTTGTATAATGTATGAATTTGACTGATGGGAAAGAAGGCACATCCTGGTATAAGTACACCTAATACATATACTTACAATTAGTATACTGGTTTAAAAGTTTGTCATGAGTGTTTCGCAATGCGTCCCGATACACAAGTATTTTTCAACGTAAAAGTGATAACGTTTCGACGACATCTGTCAGCTTACATGGGTTATGAACAAATGGCGTGTTGGCATGCATGGCAGAAGACAGTTCATGCTTGAGACCGGAGAACGAAATAGACTGCATTATACAATGACGGTCACACTATTCATATGTTGGGCATATTTACATCACCGGATAAGTTCTGCATAGCTCATTTCAAAATTATCATTTTTTTGTAAAGCAGGATCTGGTTAAGCCAGTTTCATGCTGAGAGATGTGGTGACTGGTATATGTATTCAGCATCATATTTTGAAAAGTAACCACCATGCACCCCTACTGTTTAAACAGTGAAGAAAGTTTTGCATAATAAGGACAAGAAATACTTACTCAAATGTATATTTCCATGTGAATGTTTTATAGATAGTAGTTCTTATGTCTTTTTTTTTGTTTATTGGTGCCCTCTTAAGAGTGTTGATTAATTGTTTATATTATACAACGGGGTGTGCTGGAATATGTATAACATTTGGAAAATTTATCATGATTGCTTATAATTAAAAACCAGATGTACACATTTGCAAACTTGACACTATATTTATACATTAGCATTGTGGTAATATGTTGCTTTTGCATTGACAATTGTTAAATTCATAACTGTTAAGATAATTTAATCCATAATATATTATTTTGTGTGATTTTCAAGGTTTTTTTGTTTTGTTTTTTAGGTGTTTTTTTCTGAACTTATAGAAAATATAAGTTCAGAATAACGCTAATATTTTGTTCTTTGAAATTGTCGTTGAAAAAGAGTTTTTTATATTCCGAGCGTCTCCTTTACATGCACATCATATGTATGTTTGGATGTGATAATGCTTGAACTATTGATTCAGTATAATATTTCTAACATTTTAGTAAACCTCATTACTGAAGATGTGCAATGAAATTAAAAAAAAAAAATCAAATCGTATCATGTTGATTAATACTACGATACAAAAAATGGATATTTGGTTGTGATGACAGGTGTTGTGAACTTGTTGACATACAGACATGTTGTTGAGGTATTATGCCCTGTTAAATTAATGTAAATGTTGTATTAATGTATAACATAATTGTTCAGTTGCTGACAAAGTAGACCAATCGGTCATGTATATCTGGAGAATTTTACCATTTTTATTTGTAATTCTTCATTATTAACATCGTTTTTTACGAAAATTTTGCACCCGGAAAATGAATTTTTAGCTGTCGTTTGGACTTAATAACTATTTGAATACTTTACAATTTGCTTTGCATTTAAGATGATCTAGAGTAGAAAAATGTGACGAGGCCAAAAGTATCTAGACATGTGATTTCATAATGATATGTAACCTGACTGCAGATTTACATGTAACGTACTACAAAGAGGAAAAATAAGTGTCTTCTATGAATTTGTTTTCATTATGGATAACCTATTGTCACGTTTTGGTAAAGAGATTGACAAGTGGATGGAATAAATTATACCATATGATCAGAAATCTATAAGATAGTTCCCGTGTTTGAATCAGTGATACTGTCATTTTGCGATTAGCAGCTGTACTTTGGTTGGAAAAACGATTTTATTTCGATATAACATCAACGTGCTACGAAGAATACAGAGACACAAAACAAATTATGTACAGATAAAAACGGACACTACTTGCCTTACACCTACTTGTGAATCACTAACAGGCTTTTGTTGGTCATTCAAATTTTGTCCAAAAGCAATTAAATCAAACAGGATTGACAACTCTACATGTATATATGAAAACTCATGCCGATTCTTTTTTATTAGAGTGTTTGGTTGAAATAGCTAATTTTTATGCTGTTTATTTTGATGCCAGATATCAAGTGTTTTAAACTCTTAGATCGGTGCCTATAATTGTCGGTTAATGATGATAATTTATTCAGGGTTAACTATATAGCCATTGCAGCACTGATCATACTCCAATATTGGACAATTCCATTTTCCAAGCATTTGACCATTTATAAAGACCACTTATAATTACCCAGATTCAGGAATGTTAAGTTCTGAGATGTTCCATCACATGAAAGTAATTTGAAAAAATCTGATTTCCAAAGTTAATTTGTACAGGCCATTTAAATTAAAGACAGAGTGTTATTATGTGGTCCCTTCCTAAGGATGCTCCTTGTGAAAACTTGTTTTGAGTGAATTATCAATTAATAAGATAAATCTATTGTTGTTTTTTCACTTTTAAGCTTCCAAGAAAAAGCATGTGTCTTAACTGCTATACAAAAACAATAGCATTGCTTCATTCCCCCTCCCCCATTATGCTTGAAGATAGGATGCTTTGTTTTGTGACATACTTAAATGTACTTGAACTCAGTACGTAAATACATGATCTAGTCACTCTTTATACATATTTAAAAATCATCATATCAACACAATTTTGTGTGATTGAATTTTTTCTGTTTTATTTTTCGGGTTGATATGTTATCACCCATATTTGTGAATCAATTCACAATATTTATTGGCCTTTTGCCATTTTTTTTCATTTTTTAATGTTATTTTCTATCGTATTTATTGTGTTTAAAAGTGTGATTGTGCATGGCTAGCCTCTGCTTTTTGTATTTTTACCCTCCATTTGTTTCTGCCTTTGAGTGGTTTATTATTTTTTCCCCATGTATTTGTGATCTTTTGCATTGTTGTTTTCATTACATGTGTTCTCGAGGTGAAGTTCATTCAATTAAATATATATTTGTTTTATTAAAAATGCAGTTTACTTTCTACATATCTGAACTATTATTTACAGATATTTTTTTTATTTTTACAATTGCTTATCTTGCAAGATATTATAGTTTACCCGTGTAAACAGGAAGCGTTTTATATACAGAAAGTGCAATCCACTATAGACTGTTTTACATACTAATTAAATATATTCAATTGGAACGATTAAGGTATGATTTGAATTGACTTATATACGAAACATTACCAAAGAGTTTAGAAGGTGTCTCTCATCGTTCATTCATTTCAAAACTTATATTCATCAAAACGAAACTTCGTTTATAGTCTTTTTGTAACACATGTTTTTCGAAATCTTAGAAATTAGAGTAATACGGCTTTTAAATGTTTTCAATATGGCTTTTCAATCTTTTGAATGAACTTCCACTTTGGAAACACATACACACCTCAAATTGTACTTCTTACTTTGCATGCATGTCAACCTTCACAGGACGGCGTATGGGAGGCATATTCCTATATGGAAAGGATGAGTCAAAGAAAGATATATTTTGTTACCTCTGATAATGGTTGCTTTTGATAACTATACTGCAATATCTGGAAATAAACATGTTTCTATAATATACTTACACATTTGTATTTTGTTGTTATTAGTCCCCCACCGACTTATATAGGTTTGCACTCCGTCAATCCTTTCGTCCAAGAAGTTTGTCCGGGGCATATCTTCTATACTGTTTCTCCTAGAGTAACCAGATATGGTGTGCAAGAACAACTTGGGATGGCGTAATGCAGAGTGCAAGTTTTAGGTCACTAATGACCTCACTGTGACTTATGCTTTAACCTTTGACCTTAATTTCTGATAAAGTTTGTTGGGAACATATCTTCTATGCTATTTCACCTCCAGCAACCAGATTTGGTGTACGAGGACATCTTGGAGTGGCGGAGTGCAGAGTGCAAGAATTAGGTCACTGTGACCTATGCTTTAGTCTTTGACCTTAACTTTTGAAAAAGTTTGTCTGGGGCATATCTTCTATACTGTTTCATCTGATTACACAAGATTTGGTGTACAAATACATCTTCG